ATTTATTTACTTTTAAATACTGGTATTTAGTTACAGTAATTATTGTTTATTTACGTGTTCAGTTGGAGTGTGAGCAAAGTAACATTTATGAAGGGATTCAGGGAAACCGGCAGGCCGGACTTGAGTCCTGGAGATGGGAAGTACAGTGCCTGCACTCTGAAGGAGGGGTGTTAATGTTGCAGTTTAAAAACTGTAGTGTAAAGCACCCTTCTGGCAAGACAGTGATGGAGTGAATGATGGCGAAAGTTTTTCTTTTTCGGGCCACCCTGCCTTGGTGGGAATCGGCCAGTGTGTTAATAATAAAATAATAAAATATTATATTCGTATTTGACTTGTGATATTTTCAACTTATGATGGGTTTGTTGGAATGTAACTCCATTGTAAGTCAAGGACCGTCTGTAGGGATTATCAGAATGTAACCCCATTGTAAGTCAAGGACCACCTGTAGGGATTATCGGAATGTAACCCCATTGTAAGTCAAGGACCGCCTGTAGGGATTATCGGAATATAACCCCATCGTAAGTCAAGGACCACCTGTAGGGATTATCGGAATGTAACCCCATCGTATGTCAAGGACCACCTGTAGGGATTATCGGAATGTAACCCCATTGTAAGTCAAGGACCACCTGTAGGGATTATCGGAATGTAACCTCATCATAAGTCAAGGATCGCCTGTAGGGATTATCGGAATGTAACCCCATCGTAAGTCAAGGACTACCTGTAGGGTTTGTCGGAATGTAACCCCATCGTAAGTCAAGGACCGCCTGTATGTAGTACCTCTCCAAGTTCTCAAAATGCAGTTCAGTAAATCCATCCATCTATGGCATTAATGTGTTCCTTAATATTCTAATCGAAGTTGAGTCCGTGAACCATAATGTTCCATATCAAATTTCGTGTATTTTTAAGCAGTGAAATTGAAAAAAGTTTAGTACTCTGATGAGTCCCATTCTCTTTTCTTTCTCTTTCTCCTGTATCCTCATTTTCTCTCTCTCCCTTCCTTACCTTTCTCCCACTTATCCTTTGCATCATATCTGATGCAACAAACATTCCATATGTGATCTTTGCCACTTCATTGACAACAGTGAAAATATTAGAAGTCTCTGCAGAAGTTTGCCCGAAATGCTCTGCATAACTCTGGGCTTTTTACGTATACAAATAAATGTCACCCATCTCTGTACAAACATTGTATCATGCCGAAATAAATTATTATTATTATTATTATTATGGTTGGGAGGAAGAGTGAGGGTGTTGTATGGGAATGAGAGTCGCGGTGTGTCCAGTTTGCTAAGTCGGAGAAAGAGGTGAATGTTCTAAAATAAACATATGCTATATTAACCCTTTGACTGTTGCAAGCCCCTTTCTGAAACTGTCATCCTATGTCGCAAAATTTTTGGAAAAAAAAAAATTATTTTTTCTTATGAAATGATAATCTTTTCCGGATGGTAATGACATCAAAAGTACAAAATTTGGTCGAAAACTCATGGAATTACGGTCCCGCAGAGTTAGCGGTCTCGGCGACATGTATGCATCGACGATTTTGCCAATTTGAGCCCTATTTTTGGCCAGTTCCATTGTTCCAGTTGACCAAACTCATAGCTATTTCTTTAGAACTCCATTTTTTCTATCAGTTGAGTACAAGAAACCGCCCATTTACGATTTGAACTACCCAATAAAGTGGTCAGAAATTGGCAATTTGGCCAATTTCACGCAAATTAAAAAAGATGCCAATTTCCAAATAGGGTCCAGAATAAACAATGCAGACATTCTTGGCACTAAATAACACATCCTCTGTTCATTAGTCACGTCTCTAGGCCCCTCTTATATTACTATTGCTTTCTGTTTTGATTTTTTATTCTTACAAAAAATAGAAGATTTACTGTTACACATTATTGTAAAAATGGTATATATAATATCAGTGCACTAGTGAAAGAATATTAGACTCCCAGTTAATGTGTATTGGACGTGTGGTGTGATTTGCTTACTCTTGAACATTAGTAAAAATCGAGCATTTCCGCTACTTTGAGCTCAATTTCAAGGTGTTTTCATTGTGAAACTAATCAATATCATCTCTGTCTCTGTAATATGTTTTCCATTTTATCACATGAGACCATAAAAACGAGAATACAACGATAAATACTATACGAAAATACACCTCAAAGTCAGCGTTTTATTAAAAAAAATGGTCGGAGTTTTTTTTTTCTCATTATGCACTGTCCAGATTTTTTATGTACACATCCACAGACATTTCACATGTGGCCAGTTCTGCTGATTTAAGCGTAATTGTTAGTATTATCTCATATCACTGGGCTCGAGATGTTATATGTACACAGTGGACCCCCATAACGATACCTCGATTTACTCATTATGTAGTGTATTATGTAACGCGTTTGTACGTGTATGTTTGGGGTCTGAATGGACATCTACTTCACAATATTCTTATGGGAACAAATTCGGTCATACGGCAACCTGAACATACTTGGGTGAAAAATCGTTAATGGGTCATATATGACCAAAACAGTCAAAGGTTTAAGACATATACAGTAAACATATACAATAAGCATACAGTACGTACAGTGAGTCTTTGACTTACAAATACGTTGAGAATCTTCTGTGTTGTCTATAATATTATTGTATCATTGTTATTGTTATCCATGGAGGCAAAGAAGGGAATGTACAAGAGTATAGTGGTACCAACATTCTTATATGGGTGTGAAGCCTGGGTTGTAAGTGCTACAGCAAGGAGGCAGTTGGAGGCAGTGGAGATGTCATGTCTAAGGGCAATGTGTGGTGTAAATACTATCCAGAGAATTCATAGTGTGGAAATTAGGAAGAGGTGTGGAGTTACAAAAAGTATTATTTAGAGGGCTGAAGATTGATTGTTGAGGTGGTTTGGTCACTTAGAGGATGGAGCAGAATAGAATGACTTGGAGGGTATATAAATTTGTAGTGGAGGGGAAGAGGGGTAGGGGTCATTTTAGGACAGGATGGAGGGAGGGGTGAGAGAGGTTTGGTGTGCGAGGGGCCTGGACATGCAGCAGGCATGTGTGTGTTAGATAGGAGTGGTTAGGTTAGGTAAGGTTCGTCAGGATATAGGACAAGTGTTTCCCAACACATGTCTTAGTTGGATGATGATCCACCATTGGAGCTTTTTGTCATCTGACCGAGGCCTTCTGCTGGCTTACAGTTCCACCCCCTTAAAAATTATGGTCATAATTATAACCATGTGAGCAGGGTAATATTTTGTGAAGGGATTCAGGGAAACCAGTTAGCTGGACTTGAGTCCTGGAGGTAGGAAGTACAATGCCTGCACTTTAAAGGAAGGGTTTGGGATATTGGTTGCTTGAAGTGACATCTGAGCTGTCTTATGTGGGCACCTCTGCAAAGACAGTGATTATATGTGTATGACGATGAAAGTGTTTCTTTTTTGGGTTGCCCTGCCTTGGTGGGAGACGGCCGACGTGTTGAAAAAAAAATTATTATTGTGTATAATATCATTATTATATCATTATTATACACAATACAGAAGGTCCCCAGTGTGTTCGTAAGTTGAAGACTTCCTCTATTATCAATGTTATGAATAATTCAGGAAGTCCCCAATGTGTTTGTAAATCAAGGACTTACTGTATCATTGTCCTTGCTGGTGCATGTGAAGGTCTACAGCTGCCGAGCCACAGCACAAACATCTGCGAAACATAGCCATCCTTTAACCCTTAAATGGTCCAAACGTATATATACGTTTTTTCAACATCTGAAAGTATGTAAAAAAATATAGATCTTCTTTTTTGTTTTACATTTGAAAACGTGTAAAAAAAAACTTTTATCTACATTTTTTTTGTTATATTTGAAAATACGTTAAAAAAAGGTAGATCTACTTTTGTAGCTACGAATTTGAACGTCAATCTGTTTGGACCGTTTAAGGGTTAAAGAAGAAAAGGGCATAATACCATGACTGGAACAATACACAAATAATATGCACATGGGAAAGAGAAGCTCACGATGACATTTTGGTTCCACTTGGACCATTTACAAAGTTACACTGACTTGGAAAAGGATCATTTACATATCACATAAGCTTGTAAATGGTCCATTTATGTGTCACACAAGCTTGTAAATGGACCATTTACAAAACCATTTACAATTTGTGTATAGCCATTCTTTTGTGTCATTATTTTCTCCACAAACAATTCATTTGTAAGTTAAAAAAATAAGGAATGCTATTTATTTGTTCATGAGAGACCATTTGTATGTTAGGGACATTGAAAAAGGGTCAAGAGGTCAAAACATTGGTGAAAATACTTTGGACAAGGTCTGGTCTCAGACCGAGCCACGGGGGCATTGACCCCAGAAACCCTCTCTAGGTATACTCCAGGACCTGAATTTGAGGAGGACCTGCCTAGCATGGGCCAGTAGGCCTTCTGCAGTGCTCTTCTATTCTTGTTTTTTTTTTTGGGTATCTTAGGGTGGCATCTTGTAAATATTAGGGACCTCTTGTATATGTTAGGGACCTCTTGTAAATGTTAGGGACCTCTTGTATATGTTAGGGACCTTTTGTATATGTTAAGGACCTCTTGTATATGTTAGGGACCTCTTGTATATGTTAGGGACCTCTTGTATATGTTAAGGACCTCTTGTAAATGTTAAGGACCTCTTGTAAATGTTAGGGACCTCTTGTATATGTTAGGGACCTCTTGTAAATGTTAAGGACCTCTTGTATATATTAGGGACCTCTTGTATATGTTAGGGACCTCTTGTATATGTTAAGGACCTCTTGTAAATGTTAGGGACCTCTTGTATATGTTAGGGACCTCTTGTAAATGTTAAGGACCTCTTGTATATGTTAGGGACCTCTTGTATATGTTAAGGACCTCTTGTAAATGTTAGGGACCTCTTGTATATGTTAGGGACCTCTTGTAAATGTTAAGGACTCTTGTATATGTTAGGGACCTCTTGTATATGTTAAGGACCTCTTGTAAATGTTAAGGACCTCTTGTATATGTTAGGGACCTCTTGTATGTGTTAGGGACCTCTTGTATATGTTAGGGACCTCTTGTATAATGATAAGTACTTTACAAAGAAATTTATTTTTTATATTTTTCTTTGGGACGCTTATATGTTTAAGTCCTTTCTCATGTTTTCCAACTTGCAGAAATGTTGCAAAAACAAAACGTCAAGAAGCGATAGAGGCAGCTGCTACTGTTGCAAAAAAGAAACGTCAAGGAACGACAGACGCAGCTGCTACTGTTGCAAAAACAAAACGCCAAGGATCGACAGATGCAGCGACTACTGTTGCAAAAGCGAAACGCCAAGGAACGACAGATGCAGCTGCTACTGTTACAAAAGCGAAACGCCAAGGAAGGACAGATGCAGCTGCTACTGTTGCCAAAAAGAAACGCAAAGGAGCGACAGACGCACCTGCTGCTGTTGCAAAAAAGAAACGTCAAGGAGTGACAGACGCAGCTGCTACTGTTGTGATAAAGAAACACGAAGAAGAAGAGACAGTGACAAACATAGGTGTAATCTTTGAAACGGCCAACCAATGGGAAGACACTCTGGAGGCAGAGCTTAGTGCAGACTCTACGCCAGTCACCATCATTATACATGAAAATGGTGATGTACCGGAGATCACAAAAGCTGTTGTGGTGGGAGATGCGGCGGGGAAATATGTTTCCCAAGCCGAGCCCAAACAGTGCCCACAAACAATAGGTGAAATCTTCAGAGAAATAAAAACTAAAAATAGTGATAGTTGTCTAGATATTCTTGAAGTTGCGATTGAAAAGCTGCTCTCCAACTCTATGTCGTGGGACCAAGTTTCAGAATTTTATTGCATATCCAAAAATAGACTTGAGAGAAACATGAAAATTCTGACTAACTTGAAGTCGATGCCGGACAATATAAATTATTTCCAGACATACTTAAAATTTATTACGTGCATTTCTGACAGTGACAAATTTTTCGAGTGGATGTTGCGCATGCGGAAAATGGGGCGTCTTCCAGTGATAAAGGACATATGTTATGTTAAGGAGTACCTCAGTCTCTCGTCATTTCCAACCGGCATTTGCGACTTCTTGGAAGTGTTTGGCGAGAAGCTGGTGCACTCCGAAGACTGGGGCATGATAACAAACAGCAGTGTGAGGAACTGGGAGACCATGCTGAAGAAACACCTGACAAACTACTATGGTATAACGGCTGAGACATTCCTGGTGAAGAACAATGCGTCGCGAGTCTTCAACTGCGTCGAGATGTTCCTCTCCCACACCCACATCAGGAACGAGGTCATAATTCTCCGAGGTCGCAGGAACACGTATAGCTTTGTGGGTCAGAACCAGAAGGGGATAAGTGTGATGGTGACATTCTCAGCTGCCGGCTTCTGCTTGAAGCCTTTATTTCTGCAGAACGGCTTTGATAGGCCCTTGTGGTCTGACCAAGACTTCCTCGAACAGTCGCAGTTCCATGTCGGTGCTTCTGGAAATGGGCAGTTGGACCCCTTACTATTCTTAACATGGCTAAAACTTTTCAATGCCGAGCTTATAGAAAATGAGATAGAAAAACCAGTGTTGCTTTTCCTCCATGGTCACCCTTGTCATGCAAGCCTGGAGGCTACCACCTTCTGCCAGGAAGAAGGGATAATACTCTTCTCTCATTACCACAGTCCTCTCAATATTCTAGACCCCTTTTTGAAAATATTGGGCAAGTTCCACTACCAGTACGACCGAAGTTTGAAAATCTTCGAAATCTCTCTTGGAAAGGACCTCTCTCAGAAATACTTTCCGTTAATATTCCTCGACGCTTGGAACAAAATCCAAGAAGCAGAATTTTCCGTGGACGCCTTCGAGAAGTGTGGCCTTGTTCCATTTGACATGTCTGTTGTTTACGATAATATTAATACCAGTAACGTGCAGTCTCAGAGGTCAACTTTGTTACCAACTCACTAACACCATCTGCAGGTGGTTTGTGTTAGAATTAAGTCATTTCTGCCATCTCCAGCTGACTTGTGTTACAAATAAGTCACTGACACCATCTCCGGCTGACTTACATCCACCGACATGAAATATGAACAATCATCGCAGCAGCAGCTGCCTTATGATCATAAATACCTAGCAATACTTTTACTTTCTATGGATAACTATTTTCTTTGCAAGAAATGACCATTTACAAGTTTGCTTTGAACCTAAGCTGTGAAGTAGACAAAGTATTCCTAGTGTTTATATGTATGCAAACAATGTACCAAAATGAGGTTTGTAAAATGGGATCTGATAAACGATATGAAAGTAAAATTGTGATGAGGCAAAGACGAAATTCCTTCTGTTTTTCTTATGGTTCTCAACAGCTCCGTATAAACCTTGTGGGTTTAGTGCTTTGTAATGATTACAATAATAATTTTGGTGAGGTAGGTGGAAGCAGTATTGACAGTGCAGAGTGTAGAGGAAATTGAAGGTGCCATTTGTGGGTAAACACCACATGTGGAACTGTTGAATCATCTTGCAACTCTCCGAGACAGAATGGAGTCTCAGTTGAAAGTGGAACATTGGAAAATCCCAAGTCTGTTACGACTGAATTTTGAAGCGTGTGTGTGTGTGTATGTTTATTGGATTCTTGGACTCAGCTGAGCATGTTTCTCTTGGCAAATGTTCTGATTCCCAGCAAATTATCTGATTCCTGGGTTCAGCTGAGTATGTTTCTCCCAGCAAATTATCTGATTACTGGGTATTAAGTAGTGTTAAGAAAGAAAGCAACAACATAACATATGGTATTTAAACTGCAAGAAACTCATGCATAATGAGTTAGACACTTGCATAACACTTAGATATCCTTATTGTGGAAATGTTTTATGCTAGTGAGTGTCTTCCTCAGTCCAGAGCAGAAAAAGGTGGAAGATGAGGAAGAATTTGAGGCTATAAGTGATCAGTCCCCTGAGATTGATGGGCTGATTACATCATCTCCAGGCTGAGGGACTGATCACCTCAAATTCCTCCTCATCTTCCACCTTTCTCTGCATTGGACTGAAGAAGCCACTGGCTGGTGATACATTTCCACAGTAAAGTTGAAGATTGAGACACTTATGCAGCATATGGGAATCTTTATTCAGGAAACGTTTCGCCACACAGTGGCTTCATCAGTCCAATACAAAGAGGAAGGCGTAAGGAGAGGAGGAGAATGAGGTAATCAGTCCCTCAACCTGGAGTCGATGTGTTCAGTCCATCAATCTTGTAGAATGTACAGCATAGGGCCGTAGACGTGGCTTATATACTGTAGTGAGGTGACGTGAAGCAGATGGAGGCGGGGTCATAGTGGTACCATCCACTAGTCGAAGTAGGTCTTCGTCCAAAGGTTGAACAAGTGTTGAAGAATTCTTTGTAACAAGACCCCATGATGCTGCCGTGTCTGACAGTTGTGATGAATGGTTTGAAAAACCGACAAGTTGAAGATTGAGACATATGCAGCATATGGGAATCTTTATTCCCATATGCTGCATAAGTGTCTCAATCTTCAACTTGTCGGTTTTTCAAACCATTCATCACAACTGTCAGACATGGCAGCATCATGGGGTCTTGTTACAAAGAATTCTTCGACACTTGTTCAACCTTTGGACGAAGACCTACTTCGACTAGTGGATGGTACCACTATGACCCCGCCTCCATCTGCTTCACGTCACCTCACTACAGTATATAAGCCACGTCTACGGCCCTATGCTGTACATTCTACAAGATTGATGGACTGAACACATCGACTCCAGGTTGAGGGACTGATTACCTCATTCTCCTCCTCTCCTTACGCCTTCCTCTTTGTATTGGACTGATGAAGCCACTGTGTGGCGAAACGTTTCCTGAATAAAGATTCCCATATGCTGCATAAGTGTCTCAATCTTCAACTTGTCGGTTTTTCAAACCATTCATCACACAGTAAAGTTACCCAAGTGTTGCATAAGTGGCCAGCTCATCTTCCTGTTGGTTCTCCGAATCATTTATCTACAAAATCATATACGGCATTACAGTAACTCCCCAACTTAGACACTTTGTGTATAATATCATTATTATATTATTGTGTATATCATCATTATATTATTATTATATACAATACAGGTCCTCAATGTGTTTGTAAGTTGAGGACTTACTGTATTGTATCGAACTTGTGTGTACTTGCGGATCCACAGTGTCGATGAGTGTGGCGTGTCTGGACATTTTCCCTTGGGAACCTTGCATGTCCCAGCACCCCAGGTGTGAGTACTGTATATTTCTGATGATTACATTATACCTGGCCTGATTTGTAATAAATGGGGGCCAAATCTCCCCCAAGCTGGGTTATCTTGGGGGCGGATACCATGAATTGTGCTCTGGTCACTACTGCCTCTCACGCACACTCCATGGGGCCCGGTATTTAATTTTAAACGGCAAGGGATATTCCCTCGTCAAAATTTCAGTGGTCTTTCATTGCTGATACCCTTTAATCTTGATGCCGGTGAAGGGCTCTTGATCTAAGGAACCATAACTACCCTCTGATTCCTTGGGTGAAATCTGATCTCTCATCTTAGAGATCAGGCTTCGTCCTGAATCCACGGGAAGTGAGTTGTAAAACTCTAGGTCACTGTGTTAACCACTGGCCTCTTCCACTTCCTAAGGCTCTGTATGACCCTTACAATTTAGAGCTTCCATTTGAATATACAGGTGCTCCTTGACTTACAATGGTTCGTCTTATGATATTTCAACTTTACAATGGGGATGAAATTTAAGGCAATTACCCAACAAGTTTGTAACTTGTATTCATATATTTACTTTTTAATAATGGTATTTAGTTACAATAATTATTTCTTTATTTACTTATTCAGTGATACTAGTTATTTAACTATTTAGCATATATTCATATTCAACTTAAGATACTAGCTACTTACGATGGGTTCGTCAGAATGTAGCACCATCGTGAGTCGAGGTCTACCTGTAATGCAGTCTTTTTGTAAACACGATTGGAAAACTAAATCCAACAATAAACACGATTGGAAAACCAAATCTAACAATAAACACGATTGGAAAACTAAATCCAACAATAAACATGATTGGAAACTAAATCCAACAATAAACATGATTGGAAACTAAATCCAACAATAAACATGATTGGAAAACTAAATCCAACAATAAACATGATTGGAAAACTAAATCAACAATAACATGATTGAAAATAATCAAAATAAACATGATTGGAAAACTAAATCTAACAATAAACACGATTGGAAAACTAAATCCAACAATAAACATGATTGGAAAACTAAATCCAACAATAAACATGATTGGAAAACTAAATCTAACAATAAACATGATTGGAAAACTAAATCCAACAATAAACATGATTGGAAACTAAATCCAACAATAAACAGCACATAAAAAGATCTTTGTAGTATCTTCTATTTTCAATTGACTTTTCAGTAAATATAAAAATTGCACTGTATAACGGTCCTTTATATACAATGGAACTGCAGTTTTTGTATGTCCTAGTTGCAGAAAATTCTCTATAAAATTTTGTGTCTGGAACGGAACCAATTAATCCATTCCAGATGCCCAAAAATATTAATAAAAAGTACATTTTATAGACAATTTTCTCCAAGAATCGTCTCCAACTAGGGCATACAAAACCCGAAGTGTACTTCTTTTTTTTTTTTGTAATTGTATTTTTTAACATGTCGGCCATTCCCCACCAAGGCAGGGTGACCCAAAAAAGAGGAAACACTTTCATCATCACTCACTCCATCACTGTCTTGAAAGAGGTGCATCTGCACTACAGTTATAAAACTGCAACGTATCTCCACCTGTCCTTTCTGTAAATGCAATTTAAAAATTACGTCCAAAATGATACATGTGAAACTGCATTTATTGCACATGTTATTCAATTTTAGATACACTTTTTTACAGTTGCAATGCAAAAAAAATTATTTTGACGCATTTTTTAGTTGCACTTAAATTTATTCATATGCTATATATAAGAGGTTTAAAAGAAAACCTACTGTTTATTGGACTGGACCACTTGGGGGAAACAAACTACTTGGAGGACATGGACTTACGGGGGGGGGGACATGGACTTGCTTGGGGGAGGACATGGACCTGCTTGGGGAGGACATGGACCTGCTTGGGAGGGACATGGCCCTGCTTTGGGGGGACAGGGGCCCTGCTTGGGGGGACATGGACCTGCTTGGGGGGACATGGACCTGCTTGGGGGGGACATGGACCTGCTTGGGGGGGACATGGGCCTGCTTGGGGGGGACATGGACCTGCTTGGGGGGACATGGACCTGCTTGGGGGGGACATGGACCTGCTTGGGGGGACATGGACCTGCTTGGGAGGGACATGGACCTGCTTGGGGGAGACATGGACCTGCTTGGGGGGACATGGACCTGCTTGGGGAGGACATGGACCTGCTTTGCATGGGTCAGCAGGCCTGCTGCAGTGTTCCTTCTTAAGTTCTTATGTATAATAATTTATTAATAAAACATAAATCTAGCATAAAATTGATGAGTGAAATTATAGCATCAACAGACTTTGCAAATATTGATGATGATAACACACTTGCAGCAGGTGGGTATCTTTATTGATGAAGCGTTTAGCCTACACAGTAGCCTTTAGTCAAATTCAAATTCAAATTCAATTCAAAGTTTATTCTCTATAAGGATTACAATGCTGAGTTTACAGAATTTGGTTATTGTGTGGTTTACATGTAGTAAAATACTAATTACAGAGGGTGCCACTAGAACACCTAGCATGGCTAGGCATTTCGGGCAGACTTAGATTAATTCTTAACTTTAAAATATTACAAATTATGAGGTAAGTTGGTATTATGGCTAAGTGACTAAGTACTAGTTTGTGAGTTTAGCAATAGAGGGGAAGCAGTGGTAGTAGTGAATTAAAGATGATGTAAACAGTCCGCCAACCTTAGAGAAAAAAGTATTTGAGGTGGTCAGTCCCTCAGCCTGGAGAAGAGTTCTGTGGTCGGGAACGATGTTGAAATTGAAATCTTACAGTAGATTTATGTTATCACGATGTGTTGTAGGAAAGTTGTTGGTAGCTCCCCATGCAGATATAATGAGATAACAGTAGATTAGAACTCAAGAAATTGAAACGCACAATTGCAAACCATGGTGCAAGTGGGGCTTGAACTTCAAGAAAGTAAAGCTGTAAGACTTGCCGCAAGTTCAATCTCCGCCTGTACTGTATTTGTTTTATTTTTTTTTTTTTTTTTTTTATAATTTGAACATGCATACAGAGTACAAAAAAAATACAGGTAAGAGCAACATGCCAAACCCACTTGTATGCATAGCATTACGGGCTGGCTTAAAATTAACTTAAGTTTAACTAAGTAATGATGAAATCAGTGATAAAAACATTATTGTAAACAGATAACTATAAAGCACAAATGAGTTTTACAAAGACAGGTCATATGGTTGCATGAAATTGCTGTACATTCGTAGAATGGATTTATTCTGTTAGGTAGTGTATTTAAAAAAATAACAAAGTTAGATTGGGTCTTGGGTTTACCATTTATGTGATATAATTATGAGAAACATTTAAGATATACAATTTATAAGGTTCAGTTATTTAGTATTTATTTGGTTTTGGGTGAGTAAGTGATCTTTGAGAAGAGACTTGAATTTATAAACAGGTAGTGTTTCTTTTATATTTACAGGTAATGAATTCCAGATTTTTAGGGCCTTTTATGTGCATTGAGTTTTTGCATAGCGTGAGATGGACACAAAGGAACATCAAAGAGTGACTGTGCCTTGTTTATGGTCATGTGTTTCTGTTGAGGTTGGCAAGGAGATGTTTGGGGGGAGGGTTAATATCAGAGTTAAGTGTTCTATGTATGTTAATAGGTCAGTAATAAGTATGGATGTTTTGTATGGGGGAGAGTTGAGTGTTTTGAATTTTGGGTGGAGTGTGCTGCCTGTAGTGAGAATTTGTTATCATTCTAACTGCAGCCTTTTTTTGGGGTAATTAGTGGTCTGAGATGGTTTATTGTTGTTGAGCCCCATGCACAAATTCCATAGGTGAGATAGGGGTAAATAAGAGAGTGATATAGGGCCAGGAGGGCTGACTGTGGAACATAGTACCGTATCTTCGATAGTATGGCTACGGTCTTGGAAATTTTCTTAGAAATTTGTTGTATATGTGTATGAAATTTGAGTCTATTATCGGGGGTGGATTCCTAAGAATTTTCCCTCTGTTAGCTTTGTGATAGGTGATCCGTTTATCATTATGTTAAGAGGGACATCTGTAGCTCTTTTATTTATTTATTT